GGAATATATCAATATTGAACCTTGCAAATAAAGCAGAAGTAGAAATACAAGTAGTGACTTTAGACACGACCTTTGAATAACCAGTCGCAGTTTACCTGACATTTATTGCATATAAGCAATTTCAATTACGGTAGAAACAATTATTTTTATTAGTTTAAAGTGACACCACACATAAGTAACGTGATTATTCAAGATTTTTGATCTGATAAGGAAGCCACGGGTAAGAAAAATCTATATACAGACTCAGAACTGTGACTTCAGACAATTATAAACTAAATCAAATGAAGCTTGAATAAAGTGTGCTACTTAAAAATGAAAAATAAGTATAATCCTTTTATTACTGTACAAAAAATATTCTGAGAATCCCAAATTGTACTAAATAATGTTTAATAATTACTGATACGGTACTGTTCTGGCTGTTAAATACTGATATTTACTGATATTATTACGATACTGTTGTTGCTGATAATTTTAGCTGTTTCTGATAAATAGTGATAATTACTGTCGTCTTTACTGTTTAGTCTGATGAATACTGATAAATACTGTTGATGTGCTATCGATGCTAAGATTTATTTATAATAACTGTGCTCATTGTTCTTAATTGTTAAGGTGCTGAAATAGCCTGAGAGATGGTTAATTCTTTTAAAGAAAAGTATTTTATCAACAAATTCATTATAGTCTACTTACCAGTTAAATTCTAAATGAAATAGTCATAAGATTTTTTTGTATTCCGATTTCATTTACTGATTTTAGATCATAAATGTTTATGTTTTTATCTTTATATTTTTCAATAGATGTCAATATCTGAGGTAAAAATTATGTTATTCTTGCAGTGGTTTGACCCTCCAGTAGTGTTTGAAACAAACTTTTGGAAAACTCTGATTGTAGTTTCCAAAAAATTTTCAACAATATACCTACTCGAAATGTTTGTCCTCTGTTGATTCACTTAAGTACATTTAATACCTTTCAGTTCTTTTTTCACATTTAATAGTAAATGCCATTTCATTTGATTTTCCGAGGCAATCGAGGCATCGAAGAAAATTAAATTAAGACTTAGGCATAAACAAATAGTATCAGATAATGAAAAGAGAAAATAAGAAAATTTCATTTGAAAAAGTTGTAATGAATTTAAATGAACTTACCATAATTTTTAACTCTGTTGCATAATCGTCAATATTTAAAGTGAGTTTTCCGAAACCATTGCTATCAACTGATACATGTTCCGATTTCATTGCAGAAGAAATATCAACATATTTATACGCGCCAAGACATGTCTTTAACTCTTTCTTTGTCATTTGAACGGAGACAAGCATTTGGGAAGTCTTCAAGTTTTGAAATTTCATCTGAAACATAAAATGAATATCGAAAACCATAAACTCAGAAAGAACGGAAATAGAATATACAAACGATTAAAACATTTTTATTCTATGAAGTAGAATGATATCATTCAAAAAGATAAATCAAAATATCAAGCAAAAACGTATCGTCTATACCCAAAAATGAACTCCAAAGAAAAGTATCGTTGTACTTTAATTTAAAAAAAAAAATAAATAAATAAATAAAAAACAGACAGGCAGACAGGTATGCAATTTTATTAAATAACTCAATTTAACCTTAAAAAGTTGAATCAAACTGACAATTCAATTTTGTACAAAAATTACACTGTACCCCATTATGAAAGTATATCGCTCGTAACTTACGAATGTAACAAATTTCAATCCTGGTTGAAAATGCTTTCTAATCGGCTCCAAAGACCATATCATTCTTGCATCTCGTTTCAATTTTATGACCTCTGAGTTGACGATAGTTGTGCCAGTTGAAGGATCGCTCACTCGGACTATAACTTCGATATCGTTTTCGTAAATAATACTTGTATTTTTGGCCGTTATTATCGAAAACACTCCTCTTATCTTTAAGATAAACATACATATTGTATAATGAATGAAACTTTAATAAAATAATGAACTCCAGTTTATTTTTATTCTGCTTTACTTACATCATCATGATGGTCATATAAAAACTTATCTCCGTCTTTCGTCTCTGTAACAAGCTGGGCATGAATTACACCGTATACTTTTCTATAGCCACCAAACGTATACCTAGCGAATTTTTAAAATAATGTTTTTTTTTGTAATTTGTGAATTACATTTGGTTGAACATGTATATTATTTTTCGCGCCTTTCAGAAAATCATTTGTACGCTAACGTTTTGAAAAATTAACTTACATGCTAGATACAATACATTTTCAGCAAGAAATTTCAAATCACAATGTTCCTGAATTTTTCCTCAAATTCATTCTAATTAGGTTAAGCTAAATTTAAAGGCTAAAGCACGACGAGGACTTGGTAGGTAAGTAAATGTGAATGAGTAATTATAAATTCAAAAAATTCAAAGAAATAATTGATACAGTCCATTTAAAAATCTTACCTTGCTTTAACAATGCATCGCAGGTTTCTTGTAGATCTGGTGAAAAACTTGGGACATGATATATCAACTTTGTACTTGGGAATCACTGTTTCAAACAAGAATACTAATACTTAAAAAAGATATGTAACTCCTGAAATTAGTTATATCAAGAATTTTTTGAGAAGTATATTTTAGACAGGTACTCATATAACATGATTCAAATTCGCAAAGGAACTGGGGGGGGGGGGGTCAGTGTGAGCTACGGTACAATTTAATTGGTCTTCTTGCACTTAAATTGCAAATTTTAAGTCAATCACTTTAATCTCTATCATATTTTATCATATGTAATCATGGCAATAGATTTTATCTTATTTTACGTAATAATACGTTTGAATATTAATATTTTTATAATTGGGAAAATTATGAAAATTAATGCGCCAAAATTTTTGTGTGACCTTTTTTGCACTTAAAAAGTAACATATTTGGGGAATTAAAAATATAAATAAGCAATAAAATATTTTCTTGTACCAAACTTTTTATGAACAAGTGCTGATCGGTTGGAAGTATATAGCGTGTAGTTTAAAATAATAAATGAAAAAGTTAGGGTCATTAATTATGAGATATTGGTAAAAAATGTGCAAATTTTAGGCCAATAACAGCGAAAATTTCACTTCGACTTCTTTACTATATTTTCATTTGTCAGCAAGGTCTGTTGAGTGTATGTGTAAAATTTGTTTTTAAAATATAAATTGAGACCTCTATTTAACATTCCCAACATATACGAGGGTTGTCCTAAAAAGCCGTAGACAGGGAAAACAATTTAGATTTTCTTTGATCAATTAAATATCTTTCCTTGTCATAGCAAAAAGTAATATTTTATGATCATGCATTTCAAGTTTCATGATGATATCACATTTAATAAGAAAAGTATGAAAAAATAAAGAAAGCAGAAAAGTGTACATCGGCGCACGAAAGCAATCGTAATTTACGTCTTTTATAACGTCATGATCTCTGCTTCACACTTGTCTGTTAACATTTAATTATCTCTTTTAAAGTGAATTCAGAAAGACCACTCTTGAGACTTTGGGACTTATCAAAATTCACTACTGTCCATTTTGTTTTTGATTTAAGGAGATTCAAATTTCAATCGAAAGATCGCCTAACATTGAAAGCAGCAGAGAAAACACATTGTTTGACGTCGTTAGGGGCCCAGATTGTTCCCCATTGTCTGTGTTTAACAAACAATACTCTACTTCCTACATGCTGTAACTACTTTCGGTATAGAAAAAAACTCTCATTGAATCTCATGCCATTTAAAGATAACTTCTCTATAAAAATCTAGTGTGTAATATCACTTCTGTACTCTTTTTTCCCGTCTCTGATGTATATAAACCATATCCAAAACAATTTATCACATGTCCGTGCGCCTGTTACGCGTTTGACGACGTCATTTTCATCAAACGCCATTCTAGAAACGCTTCGAAAAAAATGAAATAAATCGTCCGTTTCTGATGCTATTTATATGAAATTTTGACATATTATTAAGATTTTGATTCTGGATATACTGATCTAAAATTGACTTCAATGTTTTACACAGTACTAAAAAATAAAAGCAAACAAATGTAAGAGCTATATGCGTAAAGTATTCCGAATCGAATTTTGTTCCTGCGCCGACAGGCCCTATCGTCCTTCATATAGATTCCCAATATAATTAATATGAAAGATATATAATTTAGAATTCACAATTTTAAAGAACTTTAAATATATTATGTCTATGCAATATTTTGTTACCAATGGTTACATGTTTAAAAACATATATAAACATTGTCATCTGACTTTTTGGGACAACCCTCGTACATCTGTAATGAAAATATTCTCTAAGAAAAAATTGTGGGGTTAAAATTCCAAGATATCAAAATTAAGAATTGTATATGAAGAATTTTCTTTCACATATCCTTCCACCATAAGAAATAATACCTCATTAATCTTGCTTCTTTTGCTTCTTAATTAATTTGTGAGTAGTCGTTTAATTGAATGTCGAATAATCTGAATTGTTTAATTTAAAAATGTCATAAAATTGAGTTGTAATAAGTAATGTTGGTTTTACAGGCCCAGACATAACTTTTCTAAAAAGCCGATAATGGCATACCGATATTTGATGCTTATGAATTTACTACGGTATATGTATACACTATCTGCATGCATTTGGTCTTTTTGAAAGATATAGTCACTCTATAATTAATGGATTTAGATATGAAGAATAATAATAAGACTTTACATGTAATATTTGAAAGTACATGTACACCCTAGATACGTGTTACAACAACTGCAGAACAAACTTTCTACAAACCTTTACCTACCATATTTTCTAACTATGAATGTCTTTTCGGTTTTTCTTTTCTAAATAAACAAAGAGTAAACATCAAGCATTTACAAAGAAGAGTGTCGAATTAAGATAAGACTATCAAAATTTAAAGGAGTTACGGTCATTTGTTATATAGTAATAGACTAAGAAGTCATACCATATTGTCGACAACAATACGCCATTGTCCAGTGTTGGGATCACTCGGGATGGAAAATTTCCGGGAAAATACACCCAATACTCCTCGCACGTTTAACCATTGCTGCACTAGTTTATTTTTTCCATCCTACAAAGTTCAAAGTCAATAATTCCAATGCCTAAAATAAAGTGTTCGTAAAAAAATGGGATAATTGAATTTTATAATTTATTTAGAAAATCTAAACAAAATACTTAAAAACTTTCTCCGGTCATTGCTCCACTGTTTTGTACGGAAGTCGGTTAGTGCTTTGTAGAAAAAAATTTGTTATCTGACGGCAACGAAATAAATAACTGGCGAACGCCAGATAAAATATTTTTCTACTTGGCACCTACCGGCTTCTGTACTTTGATAAGGAAACGAGGAGAGAAAAATGCAAAAAGAGTGATTATCGGACTCTTGGAAAGGAACGAAGGAGTAAGGTATAATTTTATCCCAATATCCTTTCCGAAGATTTGAGTATTGTCCTTTGAAAAATTTCATGAAAAATATCTTGACTATAAACTTCTTTATAGACTTATAAATTTACCAAAAATCAAGAATTTTTGATAAGTTCAGACTTAAAAATCAATCGCATTTCATAAATATACGATATTTAAACAATTACCGATTTTGTTTCCAACTCAGCATTAAATACGCACAGTTAAAAGTCACTTTAATGATAGAGACGTATGGATATTTAAGTTACAAATCGGTGAAAAAATTAATTTGGACGAAAATTAGCAAAGATCGGGTTAATATACAATTAATCTCTCTCGTATATTTATTTTTAGCTCAGGCATGCCATATGTAGCTTTAAAGAGTTTTATTTTGTTCTGAAAAAGTGTAACTTGATTAGATTATGCTCATGGAGACTGTAACACAATAATGTTAATATAAAATGTTTTCAAATCAATGTCATGTAATTTAAAGTGTAATGATATAATGTTAATGATCATGAATATCAGTATTTCTAGCAGATTAAAGTGAATACCCTAGGTTTAAAGAAAATACTTACATAGACGGCAGCACTGATCTGTGTTTTTAATGGTTTTAAACTTTGGGTCAATGTTACAATTCTCATTTTCACTGATAAAAGAAAAAAAATCATACACTGGTAAATTTAATGAAACATATTAAGTCTGTCAAGTGAAATTTCATAACCAAAAATGAATATACCTTCTTCATTTTTGGCATACATTCCACGGTCGGTTTGTATCAAAATGACACTATTGAGATCACCATATTGAATCGGTGACACAATTGAATCTCCACTGTATGATAGTTTGACTCTTAAGTTCTTCGAAAATGTCAAATCTGGCGGTACCTAATAATACGTAAATAAATAGACTTCGGTTTTACACCTGTATTGATGTGTAATATAATGTTTACAAGATACACGTATTCTTGATGTACATACACTGTATTATTATGGCTATTTTACATATTACATATACCTGCTTAATGTATATTGGTATGACGTGTATTGATTTACTCACGTTTAACATGATATTATGCTGCTTTCCTATAAAAAAAATATTTAAAAATAAAAAAAAACCTCTACATTGAGAAAGTAAGGTTTCTAGGGTTAAAGTTTTAGTGTTCATGAAGATACCTCGGGATTTGTAAAACACTCTGACAAACTCTTTTGGAATTTTTCAAATATTGGGAAACCAAACCGATGATCATGTACACTGTACATGTAACTGATGAAGGTTTTTAATCAACAAAACAATTATTCTATTTTTCCTCTCTTCAATATCAATTTTAATTGTTTCACTGAAATTTGTTCAATATATAACAAATGCAATATTCATGACACGTTGCTTAGGTAGGTACATTAAATAATTTATATCGGTTAAGGTACATGTAGGTATGCGCTTTCAAAAATTTCTGTCTAACTAATTTTTTTTTTTTTTGATACCTATAACAACTCATAAACTAATTAAAACATCCATAAAAAGACATGTTTTTGCATGCTAAATTTCATACGAACTGTCTCTGAAAAAAAATTTAACATAGGAAGGTACATACTTTTATGGATCCGGTTTTAATTTTACACACCAATATAAAATTCTGATTATCGCTTGTTTATTGAAATACATGTAGAATTTTTTTGGATGATTAAAAAAAATTACTAGATATATATTTGTTAATTACAGTGTCATTGTACACACAAAGCATTTGATATTCATTATTTATGGAAATTAAGACTTTGCGCTCTGTCCATAGCATCTTT